TGCATCATTTTAACGCAGTCACAGATTGTAGTTCCCAAAAGGGCCTTTTAAGTGTTCCTCAGTGATAGTCAGCATTAAAAATAGGCATTAAGATTTACCCTAATAAGTATGCTCAAGGAATTATTGCTTCATTTGTAGTGAAATTAGAATGACGTTTCAAAAGTGATGACTTCTGAGCTACTTTCTTCTTAAAGAGTATTTGTTCTGTGTTTTCTCACGGACGAGTGGTAAAAGAGAAGCCAGTGTCGTGAGTCTGCGCGCAAAGTGACGAATGTGTGGTTACGCTGCATCAAGCGACCAACTGGGTCACTGATGGGAGACGGGTAGCATCGCTTGCCCTCCATCCCTCTCTCTCTCCTACCTCTAGATCTAGTGAAGCATCTTCCTATGTGTGAGTTTGGCACTAGCCTGAGATGTGTACGTGACTTGTGCAAATTTAAGATCTTTTAATAGTCTGACTAGTTCTAGCCATCCCAAATATTTCAGAGAGGGGAACCATGCCGTAATAAAAAACCACCTGTGATGTTTTGTCTGTTTGTGTATCCCACAATGTGCAAACAGGAAAATTCTGACAATGGAAAGGGTATGCTTCCTCCCTGCTCTGCACTACATGGTGTTCGGGCCATCGTAGTGGTCTTCCACCCCACCCATCCCGTGGTAGACAGTATCTTCTCCACCACCACCTTGGGTGAGCACGACTTTAAGCGGAGGCTTCGAGAGGCTCCGAAATACCCGCCCTCTATGGTGACCAAGGTCAATTAATTAATACAATTTTCCCCATCTGTCGGTGCTGGAGGTGTGTGAAGAGAGGCGGGTAATTGTCGTGCAGACAACGCCATTGAATGGATTGACTAATAGCAACTGGTGCTTTGACATTTCTTTTCCGTGCTGTTTAATTGCCAGACACTTCCACTTTTTCATCTTCTCCTTCTTCCCCTTCTTCTTCCACAAAATGACATTCGAATTACGCTTTACAAGTTCTTCCCAAAAGAGCCTTGGTAACAATCTATCTATTCATTAATTGAGCCCTTCGAACTGTTAAATACCTCATTCCTAGGCTACATAGCAAGTGCACCACACAGACAGGAAAAGGAATGGGTTTGGATCAGAAAGACCTGTGATAGCTTTTAGCATTTTTTGGGGCAGTTTTCAGTTTAAGAGGAAAAGGGAACAAGTGGACTCACGAAGCATCATTAATCGACAACCTGATCCCTTCCATCGTGATTCATTGATAACGTAGTTGAAGCACCGGGTGTTGTTGGCTCCATCCAGAGAGGAGCGAATGAAGGCCATCAATCCGCGTTTAACTGAAATAGTGAGGAGGAACTATGAATGCATACTGCTTCTTACTCATTATAATGCAAGTGATCAACTTTCTCGGTTAGTGAATGAGACATTATTGAAGGGTGTAATGGAGTCTCCTCCTCGTAGGAGCAGCTGGGGCTTACGCAGCACTAAAGAGATGC